ACGTGCAGATCTGTCCTCGCAGAGGAGGGAGAGCTTGTACCTGAATAAGACTTGGTCTTAAAGGTGCCACTGGACTGTTTTGGATTGCTAGCTATTGGTGGGGGGGAACGTGCAGATCTGCCCTCTGCAACTTATCTGGCTGCTTCTTGCTCTGACTGAGGGCTGCTGGGAGCAGGGGGCGGGGCTTGTTGCATGTGCCCGCCCCCTGGGCTCTTTACTCCCGGAGCTCCGCTCCTGTGCGCTCCTGCAGGAAATGGCCCCTGTCTGTGGCCACAGTATGGTGTTCTGGGCCGCGCACCGGGCCAAGAGAACGACCATCGGATCCCAGTTGGGATGCAGTGAGAGGGCAGAGGTCGACTGACTTGGCCGAAGAGGCATGCACTGGCCTAAGTTGATGCCGCTCATGTTTGGGGAGACCCCTGCTCTATTTGAGCTCCGGAGCACTCAGTTTCCATTCTGACAGGTGGTCTCGTCGTCTTCTGGGTCGCTGCTGCCACTGTCGATCTACTCCAACCTGCCTACTAGTTCCGTCAGGAATGTCTGGAGGAGGGAAGCTCGACTCTGGCTCACCTCCAGCACCTTGAGATGGTCAATGGACTCCTGGGAATCGTACTCCTTGATCACCTTGTTAGTGATCAGCGACAGACCAAAGACCCGCAATCCGCAGTGCCTGGCCACGACGACCTCGGCCGCAGTGCTCATTCCTGCAAGGAAACAGGAAGCGAGTCCTTGATGGCTGAACTGCCGTGAGGTCACAGAAATCTCATAATCACTCTTATCTCTCAGGGTGAGGGCCACTGACTGGACATTGAAAATCAGTAGAGCTACCGTTGAGTAAAGCAGAAGATCCATTTGGTGGTGGAGGGAGCTAACAGAGGTTGAACAGAGGTTGTATTGCAGATTGCTAGGGATACCAGCCATGCAACGATTGATTGTGAGAACATAAGAAGAGAAGCCAGTGTTGGATCACGCCAAAGGCCCATCCAGTCGAACACTCTGTGTCACACAGTGGCCAAAAATACCAGGTGCCATCAGGAGGTCCAGCAGTGGGGCCAGGACACTAGAAGCCCTCCCACTGTTGCCCCCCCCAAGCACCAAGAAGACAGAGCAT